ACAGCTATAAGTTGCAGGGGAGATATACAGGGAATGATCAAAACATGGTGAATGTTTAAATGTTTTAATGAGTTACAGTAAAATATACATTGCCATTAATCTCCCTCAAAATACTTCTGCTGTCTTTGAACACACTCACTGCTCTTTTCACTTTCTGAAGCATTTCTGGAAGTTCTATTTCATGAATGTCTTTATCTGGTGTGATTTTAAAAAATACAGTGAATGTTGTTGTTGAGTGACATCCAATGGAAAACAGGCTTGTAAAAAATATTATGGTGTGTCCTCACCCCCCTTATTCATTGGATCTGGTACCATGTGACTTCTGGCTGTTGTCCAATGGCCATGCAATGTCAGTATTTTGAATCAATTCAGGACACTGAGACAGCCATGATAGTACAACTAAAGACATTCATGAAAAAGGCCTTCTAGAACTCCTTCAGAAAGTGGTAGAGAAAAAGATGTGGTAAGTGTGTTCAAAGTGAGGGGGAGTATTTTGAGGTGAATTAATGGCAATGTGTCTTTACCTGTTAAAATTTTTTAAGCATTCACTGTATTTTTTAATCACACTGTGCATAAACTAAAGAGGTGAATGTGAAAATTTTTAGCTCTGTTACTTAAATTATGACACATTTATACTATAAAAAACAACAAAATACAATGTCTTAATACAAGTTTATTTCTTACAATTCAGCAGTCTGACAATATTTCAGATCATTGGAAAACTGTGACAAGACTCATTTCTATGATAGGCTGGGGGCAAAAACCTAACATGGTTCAACAAAGAATGGGGAAAATGAGAATTATAAGTGTAGACTATGTATACACAACTGATTTAAAAGATTGTGTGCTAAAGCCAAAACTGGGGTGGTAGCTTGAGGGAAATGTAGGTTTGAAACATTTTTCTTGCTTTTTTTGTTTTATTTTTCTTTCATTTGTTTAGGGGGATAATGAGGACAGCACTAGTTAATGCTCTACCATTAAGCTATGTCCCCAGATTTTTTTGTTGATTTTTAAAGTCTTTTATTTATTTATTTTTGGTGGTGATGGCGCTGGGAATTAAACCCAGTAATTTATGCTTGCTGAGCAAGTGCTGTTCCACTCAGTCACACTCCCAATTAAGTCTTCTTTTTAAACCTGCAGCACATGACACTGGGCTCCACAAACACATTCCTTACTTTTTACTCTAAATTTTTACTTTAACACAGTAGCAGCTGGCTGTGCAGCTAAGTACCTTTGCCTGAGGAATATAGGAAGCAATCTACATGTGCACTCACTTGGTATGATGAAAGGCAAGCTGTGTGCACATGTGCAAAATTGTCAAATCAGGATTTTTTCCGACGTTATGCTCCATCTAACATGTTTGGCAGAAGTTTACCTGAGCATCACAGAGTGTATAATACACCCACACCGTTCTATGATTTGTTTTAAAAGAAGTTTTCTTTTGATTTTTCTGGTAGAAAAGTAGCTCAGTTCAGTACAACAGCACATGAAAAACCAGATTTGCAAGTTTGAAGGCGGTCAAAAGTGAATCATCAGATTATTCATGCATAGATGATGAGGATAATCTACATGTTTTCCTAACAGAAGAGTGGTGGGGATGGATGGATGACGCTAATGATGACTTTGATGAGAGCCAAAGTTCCTGTGACAGTGAAATGCAGCAAGAATCAACTGATACAGACACAGAATGCAGACATCCTTGCTTCAGATGATGAAGAAAACAGCAATACGAGTACATAGTTGACTAATTAAAATGTTGTGAAATGGCCACAACCAAATGGAACAATTCGCTGTTAGAACTAGATCTGAAAACACAGTGAGGGTCTTGCAGGGGTGAAACGTATTGGAAAGAATGTCAGCACTGCCATTCAGTGCTGGAAATTATAACAGATGAAACGCTACAAGATGCTGTGAAATACCCAAAGGCTGAAATACAGGTAAAAAGTTCAGTATGCACCAATAGCCATATTCAAAGATGTATTTATTATGACACCTCTCTAGCTGAACTGAAAGCATTCATAGGTCTGCTGTACTTAGCAAGGATTTCTCATGGTAATCGCAGGTCTGTAAGAGACTTGTGGAAAAGTGATGGGTCAAAATACGGCATAAAAATTTATGCCCTTGTAGATGCAAAGACTTGTTATGCTTTCAATTTAGACATTTATCCTAGAACTCAGCCATCAGGTCCTTATTCACATAGTAATATCCAATGATGCTGGGAACAGAGTTGTTGTTCTCATGTCCCAAATTAATTGGAATGTGACACTGGACAACTGGTTTGCCAGTTTCCAGTTGATGTTACATTTGCTGACAGAGCACAAGTTGAGCAGCACAGGAACTGTACATAGGAAGAAAGCAGAAATTCCAAATGAAATATGGTAATTTCAAAACAGAGAATTCTATAGTACAATCTTTGGATTACAGAAAGCTTTACATTGGTCTCATATATGGCAAAGAAAAACAAACTGGTACTGCTGATGTCAATGTTGCAGCATGATGCAAACATTGATAGGGAAACCTTGACAAAACAGAAGCCTGAGATAGAGACTTTCTGCAACAAAACCAATGACTGAGTTGATGTTGCTGATGAATTATGCAGCAACTGTGATGTCACTTGAAACCTATAGCACTGACCAGTGGTCATGTTTTATGAATCCTAAACTTGTGTGGTGGTGTAAATATTTTGATAGTTTGCAAAGAAAATAACAAGTGCAGAATATCATGGAGAATGTTTCTCAGGAGATTGGGCCCAGAGCTAATGAAAGGTCATTTACAGCAGGGGAAAACCAAAATGTTTCTGTCCAGGAAACTGTGCAAAAAAATTATGGTGCACACTGCTGAGTTGACAGGAGAATAGGCAGACACAGCATCCCAGAGACCTACTACAACAACAGGGAAACAAAACAAATGTTCCCTGCAAGAAAGGACAGGGAAATAGCATATGTTTTCCCTGTCACAGGGAAAACATATGTTTTCTCGGTATAAGTGATACTTGTGTATGAAACATGGAATTTTCATATGTGAAGACTGCCTTGGTTGTGACAATTGAAGCAAAGATTATTTTTGTTGTAGAGTTCTATCAGTATTTTCATTGTAGTTCACATAGGTTTTTATTTCAGATATTATCTCTTAGGTTTTGTAAACAAGTACACAGCTAATGTAGAAATGTCAACGTCTATTCTAAGCACTCATTACCTGTTTGGTGTTTTGTTTTATTGATATTTTATTTCCCTGCTAAGTGCATGTTGTAAAACACAGTAGAAAGCTCCTGACAAAACTAGGAAGAGAAGAGAGGTGACAAGAATGGCCTGCCACATAGGAAAGGAAAGCTAAGCCCATGTGCTGTCTGGGAAAGTGAGAACTGTGGAAGGAACATGCAGCTGCCAGGGTGAAGTCTGCCCTGGGTGTGACAGCCAGAGCAAAGATTATTTCTGCGGTAGACTTTTGTTTGTGTTTACATCGTAGCTCACATTGGTTTTTATTTCCAATGTTATCTCTTAGGTTGTATAAGTAAATATACGGTTGATGAGAAAATGTTGATCTGTATTCTGAATTTGCAATATATATTAAGAATTTAGTACTTTATTTTATCGATATTTTATGTTCCTATTAACTACACATTGCATAATGTAGTAAGAACCTCATGACAAAACAGCATTACCAGTGAGATGTAAAACGTGTCCTATAAAAAGCGAAGTGTAAGTGATAAGTGTGTATGAAAGGTGCTGTTGTCATGTATGGAGACTGCCGTAAGTGTGATAACTGAAGTAAAGATTGTTTTTGTACAATGATATTGGTATTTTCACTGTAGTTCGTATAGGAATTTGTTTATCTTGTTTCGGTGCTAATGGAGAAATGAAAGGACTGAAGGGCCAGGAGGGAGAGAGAATTTCAGGAGCCCATTTGAGTACCTAGAGGAAATGTCAACCAGACCGAAGGCTGGCGTGCAGGTAGGAGCATAGGTGACTCAGCTACGCAGATAGAAGGCTAGCCTGGGTGCACAGGCACAGATGAAGGCAAAGCAACCAGCAAACCTGGTGTGCCTGGGACTGAGGGCTTCCTGGACTATAGGACTTTTAGTGCCAAAACTGGGACAGCCCTGAGCAAACTAGAACAGTCAATATCCTAGCAGTAGGATAGTTTGTAACAGAAGTTTGAGGGTCTGGCAAAACCACCTGGGGAAGTAGTTGTGACTTGTCAGCTACTTGTTAACTACAAGGCACATGTGGACACATATGCAGAACAGTTCCCGAAGCCCTGCATGTGGACTTCTCCTGAGAACTTGAGCAGCTTTTCAACAGCATGGCCTAGATCTAACATCAGCCTGAGGCCTGGCATCCCAGCACCACCTCTCAGGACAGGAATGTACAAGTTCTCTCTGGTTTCCTCGAGATTTGGACAGCATAAAAGAGAGTTGCCACAAGAAGAACTTGCTCTCCTGGCTTTCCCCACAGGAACCCATCCTGCTTTCTCCAGGGTGTTCTTTTATCTTTCTTTTTCCTCTTTTATTCCACTCAGGCTCCCTCTGCAGAGCCAGCTTTTCTCTAACTCTTCACTTTTACTTTCTTGAGTAAACTTGCCCACTGCTTTTCATCTTGTTCAATTTTTGGTTCCAGATGAAAAGAACTTGAAATTTAACTTGCAAGGAAGGGGTGAACAGTCCAGGCAATGTTTAGGTGGCAAGCCACTTTTCAGAAGCAGGCTGTCTGACAACAGTAGTCCTCTTTTGATCGTTTTGAGCATTGCCAAAAGAAGTGTCAAAAAGTCCTTTGTGGATTCAGTCCATTACCAAGCACATGTAGCCTTAAAACCTGTGTTTGGCAATCACAGTATTGTATATTACGGTAAGTGAGTTACAGTTCTTGGACTGGGGCTATAGCTCAATGGTAGGGAGCTTGCCTACTGTGCATGAGGCTCTAGGTTCAATCTCCAGCCCCATAAAGTAATAACAACAAACACCCCAAGCAAAACAAAACATAATTGTCATTCTTTTTCTGCAGGAGCTTGGGCTTGTGGAAGAGAGAACTGAACAGGACAAGCAGTGTGAGACTTATGTAATGAGTTTATTCATTGTAAGTCATGAAAGTCATGGCCTGTATTCTTCAGGTATATACCATCTACTAGAAGTAGATGGTGCTTAATAAAAAAAATAGAAAACATTGTCTGAGATTTTACTGATTTTTAGCATCTCTACATCCATTATCTCTTTTCATCTTACAACAACTTATTGGGTAGATGTTCCTGTTACCATCTCCACTTCAACTGAGAAAAAAAAAACTGCGTGTAGTTGTCGCGCAGGAAATGGATGGGAGGTCTTATAGTCTGGCTGATCCCACAGCCTGAGATTTCAACACTGCATGGCACAGCCTTCTACTATTGCTATGCTGTATAGGAATAAATTGTTAGTAGCACAGCCAAGTGTGTTACAGATTTAGAGAAAGACAGAAGGCTGGGAAAGTAGCTCAGTGAAGAACACTTGCCTAGTGTGAGCAAAACCCAGGTTCCATTCGAAGTATTGAAAAAAAAGGTAAGTTTTCTTTGAGAGGAACTCAAAGAAGGCATCATAAGGGAAAGAACTTGAAGACAGTTAGGCAGAGGCAAAGGGAGGACATGCTGGGCACAGGACCCTTGATAAAACTAAAGTTGTCTTGGTTGTCCTCTGCTATCCTCATAAACTCTCAGGTCAGCGACCAGCTTGGTTTTCTTCTCTGCCTCTGCATTAATCCATTTTTGTTGCTATAACAAAATGCCAGAAGTTGAGTAACTTGGAAAGAAATATTTAGCTCAGTTTTGGAGGTTGAAAGTCCAAAGTCCAAGATTCGGAGGCTCCATATCTTCAACCTCTGGTGAGGGCCTTATGGCAGAAGGAAATCAGAAAGACTGAGAGGGGCCAGACTTGTTCTAATAGCAACTCCTGTCTGTGGGAACTACTGTGGTCCCATGAAAATGACTTAATTTCTTATAAAGACAGTGTGCCAAATGACCCAATCGCCTTGCATGAGGTCCACCCACATCTCGTGTCACCATGATGGGGACTGAGCGTCCAACTCACCAACCCTTTGGGGATACATATCCAAGCCATACCTAAACCATAGCAGCAACCCAGAAAGAGGTCTGGAACTTCAAGGAGGTGGGATCACGGAGTGGAGGCACAACTTTGACTTTCTTACCTTGTCTTAGCTTGTCTCTGAAGTTATAGAATGAACAGAACTCTGCTGATGACCAATGAAATGAATGCATGAACAAATTTATTGCTTAAATGCATATTTTAAAACTATGCCACACAGAAAGAAAAATGTATGAACAATCAGTATTTTTAAGTGAACATATCTTTATCAAGAAATACAACTTTACCAGCACTCTAGTAGTCCCTTCTAATCAATACCCTGTATTCTTTGTGAAGTTAATGACTACCTTGACTTCTGAAATAAAAAATGTTAAGCCAGGCATGGTAGCACATGTCTACAGTCCTAATACCCAAGGGGCTGAGACAGAAGGATTTTGAATTTGAGACCAGCATGGGCTACAGAGTGAAAAATACTAGTTTTGCCTGTTTTTGAACTTTATACGTGAAGAATCCTACAATTTTTCTCTTTTTTTTGTATCTGGCCTTTTTAGTACCATTGTGAGATTCACCCATATTGTTGGATATGTAGCTCTTTTATTCCCACTGGTATATTTCAATTTGTGACTATTTTGGAAAATTCTACTTAATAAACCATTTTACTCTGTGTTTTTTTTCTTTCTTTCTTTCATTTTAGTGGTGTGGTAATGAAACCAAGGCCTCACACATGCTGGGCAAGCCCTTTATCATCAAGCTATACTCCCAACCCATTTTACTGTTGTGTGTTTGGCTGATATTTGGTTTTTGATAATTAGTAGTAAAGCTTCATGAACGTTCCTGTGCATGCCTCTTGGAGATGGCTCACTTCTTTTGGGTATAATCCTGTGCAAACATTTAAAGGCAGGCCAGAATTTCCCATTGCTTTCGTGCCTAGTGTCTTGTGCCTTCAGCATCCATGGGCACGTCCAGGTGAGGGCATGCGGTGAAGATGGCCACCAGACAGTACTCTTGGATTTGTTGTGGAATTCTTACAAGATCCAAATGCTTCAGTAACTAGGCCACCAAATGCTTCAGTAACCAGGTGCTACAGAGATGGAAATCAAGTATTACATGTAGGCAATCTAGCAAGGATCAAGCAAAAGCCAGTCCCACCTTCTTCCTGGATGGCTCTGGTCCAAAGTTATGAACACAGCCAGTGCTCATTCTGAGCAATTCCAACTGCAAAGCCTTTGCAGCTAACTTGTCCTGTCCCTTCCATGTGGCTCATGATATTTATTCAGTGGAGACTGGTTGGTTTTGTCCCGGATGGCGTACAGAGTTACATCCTATGTCTTCACAAAAGACACATTTTCAGTCTTGTTCAGTGTGGGAACCATTGTCACCATGAAACTACTGAGCAAATGAAATGTGGCTAGTATGACTAACAGACTGATATTTTGATATTGAATTTTATTTGATTTAAATTTAGCAAATGATACTTGATTCAGTATGGAAAATTTTTAAGTATGCTTGGAGCAATTTGGCTCTGTGAATCAACTTTTTCAGCTCTAAGTTTTATGAAATCTTAGTTCACATTAAGTATTTCTGATAAATATTTCACAACTGAATTGAAACATGCTGTCAGCTCAAAAGCCACAAAAAGATTATATAAAAAGAATGAAGAATTATCCCACTAGCTTTTTGTGTTGATTACATGTCAAAATAATAATATTTGAGTAAGTTTGGTTCAAATAAAATATACTATTAATGTTAATTTCTCTTACTTCTGTCACCTTTTTATTGAGATCAGTAGTGAAAGAGAAAAGCTGTGCAAGAGAAACTGTTCTTTGTAAAACTTTGTTCTTTTGAACCTGCCTAGCTCTGTAACTGCTTCATGGCTTTGTATCTACCTTCTTGACCCCCGTAACCGCGAGAGTGTGACCGAACATACAGGATGCCTGATTGTACCACGGTACCAAGCTTTATAAACTGATGATCATTAATCTACCTTTGTAAGCGATGATCTGGCCCTGCTAGCTGATCACAAGAACTGCCAGGCTGTTCTGGCTCACCTTTGTGCCTCTTTTGTTCCACCTGTTTGTGTATTATCTAAAAGCCCTGGACCACCAGAGATCAGGACCTGATATTCTGGGAATGATCCTGATCAGTGCCAGTCAACATAAATAAATCTGCCTCCAAATCCTGGGTATTGGTTTGGTGTTTCTGCTTACTGTCGCACTGGTAAATTTTAAATTACATATGTGGCTACCATCATATTTCTGTTAGACAGGGCTCTTCTAGAGATTCCCAAATATACTGTTTCACTACATTTCCTGGTAGAGTCTTCTGCTTTAGAAAGTGAGCTAAGGATCTCATTTAGTGTACACAGTGTGTTGCCATATGTATGGCTTTGGTAGGAAAGATGTTTGGTAGAGCTACCCATGAGCTGTGGAACCAAACCTGTCTGGGTGTGTATCTGGACCCAATCCCTTAAATAAGGACATTTGGCAAAGCACTTAACTTCAGCATCAGATTTCCCCTTATGTAAATCAGGGGTATGAGTACTGTAGAGTGCTCCACCCGGATCCCTGGGTCTCATTTATTATGCTTGCATCCCCTGTGCCATTTGGGTGAGCAGCCCAAGCCTGAGGTTTTCTTTGGGTGAATGCCCTTGGGGTCCTAGAACCACTTGAGGCCACAACCAAAGAGTGACTGGTGGAGAGGTATGAAAGCCCATCCCTAACTCAAAGGAGGGGGGACTTTAATGAGTAATTTACTCTTCAGAATGTCCCTATAGCACCCAATTCATGGCAGACTTCACCTGGAAATCTTAGTACCAACTTTTCCACTTCCCTCCTCTCTTTTGAGGGATCAGCTTCTGTGAACCTAACCTAAGACAGCTACTGACTCATGCATTTTTTAGGATTAAATGAGAATTTCCTGGAACAGAGGCAGTTCATAAGCCACCCTTTGATATGTAGTATCTGTATGCTACAATTTTACTACCAGGAAGATTTTATTATCAGGAAGATGTGCATCATCAGGGGTTTCCTCAAAGTCCTGGCCAGATTGCATCGAGACATCCCTTGTCTCCCTCCCCACTCTCAGATCCTAACCCCTAATCCTCATCAGCTCAATGGAGCAAATGTGGAAGATCTCATGGGTTCATAGGAACCTCAGAGAATAGTGATCAATCCACTTATAAACAACTGATGCATGTCTTTCCATGGTTTCTCCCTGTGTACATGCTGGACGGATGCTGTGAATAATTAAATCACTTTCAGTATAAACTTAAAAAGAGCACTAATGATTTCAGAATAAATAAAGGAGATTTAGCTTATTGACTCAAATAAGACCCATGTGGATATGTATGATTTCCTCACTATATAAACACATGGAGATATTGTAATTGAAGCATTTTATATATGAAAGACAACCTGTTTATATTTTTATATACTTTCAGTTCACTCTTTTTTTGGGGGGGGTGTCAGGAATTGAACTCAGGACCTTGTGCTTGCCTGGCAGGTGCTTATGCCACTGAGCTATATCCCCAGCCCTCATTTTTAATTTAAATTGTCATTTATTTTTATGTCTTTTTTTTTTTCTTTTTCGTGGTGCTGGGTATCAAACCCAGGGCCTCATGTATACTAGGCAAGTGCTCTACCACTGAGCTACATTCTCTGACCTGAATTACATTTATTCTTTAACTAATACCTAAAAATTTAAAAATTTTATACATTATTGGGGTAACATGATTCTTTGATATATATAGTGTAATGTTTCAACCAGGTTAAATGCATCTATCTCCTCATTCACCATTTCCTTCTTTATTTTTATTCATATGTGTTTGTAGTACATAATGATTGCGTTTATTATGGGGAGTTGGTACATGTACATAACACATCTTAATTTTTTTAAGCCCCCATTCCCTCCCCTCATCATTTATGCTAGAAACCTTCAATATGCTTTCTTCTAGATTTTTGAAATATATTTCCAGTTCATTCTTTTGACAAGTTTTTATTAACACTAACATTTATTATTTTTGACATTTGTATTATATTGGACATGATTCTAGCACAGTCATAGATACTATTTCATTGGATTTACTAAAAAATTCAGTTCAAATGTTATCTCCTAAGAGAGGCGGGCCTGACCACTCTAATTAGCCACCTTAATTGCTCTCTTTTGGCTTTTATCACTGAGATTTTTGCTTATGCATTTACTGTGCCCCTCTGCCAACCCCTTCCCTATTTAGATCGTGGGTTTCAGGAAGCAAGCACTTTTCTGTCTTGCATTCTACTGAATCCACAGTTCCTAGAGAAATGGGATCTGGTGAGCACCCAGTAAATACTTACTGAATGATGAAGTGAATGAAAACCTTAGTGTAGAGGTCTCTGAAGCCCAAAGAGACTTAAAGAGTAAGATCTCAAATTTGCATGGTAAGTGGCAAAACTTGTATTTGAATCTGTATCTTTTCTGCACTGTAAAATACTGCCCTTCATATTTTATGGGCTGTAGAAGAATGACACATCTCAACTGTAAGGAACTCACTTAAGGGAGGGAAGAAATTCACTTCAGTCAACAAAGCATTTACTAATCCCTGGTAAGCAGTGTATCCAGCACAAGGGACACAGAGGTAAACCGTTCAAGTGCAGCGCTAGCCAGAGTGGAGTTCTTGTTGTGACTGAGTACAGAAGACAGATATTACAGGTAAGAAGTGAGATACACATTTTGGAAAGGAATGTACAGGAATGGAAAAGAACTGCAAGGCAATTTTCTTGGGCATCAAGAAAGGCTTCTCCGTGGATGGGTGTGAAACCTGTTCAAGAACTGGGTGAAGAGTTTTTGGACCGGCGACTCACTCCCGGCCTCGTGGTTCCCTGGAAGGAAGGCTTCCGGCGCACAGGGAGCTGTGGGTGGGGAGCGCCAGCCTTCTGGCTGGCTAGCTTCCTGCCTGCTGGCTC